TCTGCCATATATATATATATATATATATATTTATAATGACCAGTAACAAATAATTATTCAAATTCAGTCAGTTCTATTTTCTTCCTTCTGGGTTAAGAATATTGAAATGTTGCAATAAACTGGCAATACATTCCCAACAAGTGTATAGATATCATAATATACATTATTATTAACAGTTAAAGTGCAGAAAAGAAATTTTATTTTCTATTGTATATCATAAACAAGGGTAAAATATTCTCAAAAGTATATTAACAGCTATCTAATTACTGCACAAAAATTAAACTATGGCATACAATATAAAAGTTACAGCATACATATTATGTTTATTGTTCATTTCAAAGTTTTATTATTCACATTCAAAAGCTACTTCTACTCATCAATATAAATTTTATCAAGTTTAACTTGTAAGTTTGCTTTCACATAAAAAAAAATAAAAGCATTGAATATTCCTAAATAAATAACTATTGAAATACATGCACGTATGCAACAAATAATATTTATATATAACGTGCCCATCTTCACATTACTCATAAATTATTCTCTGCAAACACGTGTATGTACAATGAATTTTTATGCTATATAAATTAAAAAGCACATCTTACTTGATACCCAAAATAACCACTAGTGTTTTGGCCATGAGCAAAAATTTCTGCCACAATTTTCACACTTTTTGATAGTATTTAAACCACAATCTGTGAAAGGACAAAAATGTCACAGTTTTCTGATTTCACAAACATAAATAATTAATTTTGTGAAGGCCTAGTCTATTGTATAGTATAGATGTATACAATAGTACAGAATTATTAAAAAATGACATACGTGTGTGTATTAAAAGTAAATTTTTCAACCTTTAAAATTAAACTATCATGTGGCTACCTCACAGAATAACAAATCACTTACAATTTAACTATGACAATTTTGGTAACTCTGTGAAAGAAAGTAAGATACAACCTTTTACAATGCACTGTTGACAAATTATACATATAATATTTTATTAATCATTACACATTGACAGAGAATGTTTATTGCACCATTCCTCACTATAATGATATCAAACTCAATTATAGTACAATTATTTATAGGTTATCAATTACAAATTTCTCTCGCATAATTATTTCTTTATATCTTCAAATACTAAGGTTACGATGAGGATGTTGCTGCTTTACAAAAAGATTAAGATCACTCAGCAATTGAATAAATGCCTTTACTTATAATAAATGCAAAGTAATGTGGGTTGTCATAATAATATGTACAATTTTGATGGGAATAACCATAATCAGTATCTTAAGCCATCCATGCTGTTGCTAGTGGTACATCATATTTACAGAAAAATTGAGTATATATCTAAGAGGTTGTAATTTGATTTTATAGGTCATTCATTACGCCTCACTTGTATTATGTTTGCTCTTGGGCTCCTTAAGGTCAGTATTAGTTTGTTTTAAAGCAAAGCCATATTACGCTATCTGCTGTGTCCATTGTTGGGAATCGAACACTGGATTTTGCATTGTATGTCTGTAGACTTACCCCGGAATGAGGTCAGTGAATTGTTGGAAAGGGTTCAATCAGAGCAGTATTATTAAGATACCTAGGATGCCATGAATAAGTTAAGATGTCTGATAATGTATCCTCTTAAAAAGTTTGAGGGGATCTGACTGAGGTGTTACTATAGTATAACTTAAGATCAAAGGAATTAACAGTGTCAATGCATCATCTATTATCGTACTTAATTGTAGGAATGATAGGATTAGGTGACACAAATATAAATCTTGGCAGGAACTATGAAAATATTATTTTTCTAACACTAACACAAGCCGTCTCCAACCATTATCACACTATCACTGTCGTTAGCTCTTGGACTAGTTGGAGTGGATTACATTCACGATTCAAAATGCAGTAAATTTAAGAGAAGGCTTATTCTGTGATAAATATTTAAATGATAAGAGTTAACTTGAAGGCTGTCCACCCCCCTCCCCTTAAGTTTAGTTTAGTGGATGGGATAGCCTTCATCAGTTCATGTATCAGCAACAGGCCCTTTGTCGTCCATAAAATTAAAAATAAAATGTTATAAATGAAAATATATATATAGAATAACTAACCCGATATCTGACCTAAAATATTGAAAAGAGAAAAAAGAAGTATGGAAACGTTATATTAATTATAATGTATATATATATATTGTAGGCTATTTGATTCATAATACATACCAGGTATACAGATTCGTTTTAAGTTTTCTTTTTTCTTTTCTTCCATAATTCCAAGCGTACAGGATTACACAACCTTAACCCTAACTACGTTTCCACAGTACACTAGGCCGTGCTTGAAAAACTCAGTTGTTAAGAAAACCAGAAACAAATAACATTTTACAAACGGGTTTTTGTAAATTTGATCAAATATTTATGGGGTTTTGTATCCTTTTTAACATTTGTATATAACTGATCAAATATTATACTTAGCACGATGGCAAGATACGGCCCAGTACTTACATTAATCCAACCCTTAAGTATTCTAATATTATGAATAAATAAAACAGCCCACCCTCAAATAAATAAATGTTCTGACTATAGACTATTTTTAGGTTTTTTGTTCACAAAACATGTGTTAAAATTCTGCCTGATGTTAAAAAAATCATCATTGATTCTGTTGCAACTGGCTTACTTTGTTTACGGGATCTTGTCAATTATTCGGTAGAAATAAACGCAACGTCCAGTTTGTTTGTTTTGAATTTCGCAAAAAGCTATACGAGGACTGTCTCAGCTAGCCGTTCTTAATTTAGCAGTGACAGACTAGAGGGAAGGCAGTTAGTCAACAACACCCACCGCCAACTCTTGGGCTGCTCTATTTCCATTGAATAGTGGGACTGACAGTCATGTTATCGTGCCCCTGCGGCTAAAAGGGCGAGAATGTTCGGTGACAGGAATTCGAACCCACGACTCGCAGATTGCGAGTCGAGCGCTCTAACGATCCAGACATGATAACGTCAAGGCCACTAATTTTTAACGTAACATAACTATTTCTACGGTAATGTTCAATAGGCTACTATCACTAATAGACCTAAGTCACGAATAAAACTAAACATTTCAAAAATACGAGTGTTAAGTTTTGCCTCACAGGTTTCGACCCTTGGTCATTTGACTTCTTCGATACCTGGTCACCTATAAAATGAAATTGTGTACTACTTACATTAACAGTAACTTGTTTTCTAGCTTAGTTATGCAAACACTTTTTATAAATCTAAAAAAAAACGATAAAATTACGCTTGACACTCTTCATCAATTAAGCCTACAGGTGAGTTTGAGGACTTATAAACTAAAAGTCGAGGTGCAATACCCGCAGTGGGCGAAACATATATATCCCAATGTCTAGCTTTGTGTTGAAATCCTAAAATAGTAAATAATCGTAATACAAATATTTCAAGCATTTCAGACCTATCTATCTGACTCAAAACACCTTTCGCTCAATTGCAGAACATTTTCTGAATTTAAGTGAAATACTATCTGTTTGCCAGGTAAATAGTTTACATAACTATGTTAAAAATGAAACATACTTTCACACCAAAAATCCCTGAAAATGAAAATAAAAAACCTGCAGTTTCATTAGTATGATCAGAAATAATACATTTTTTAAAATCCTTATGTCTGTATAAAAGTTTTAAATGGCTCTATATTTTTAAAGAGTTAAGAATAAAAATTTTCAATAAAGGTAAAAAAAATAATAAATAAATTTAAAAAGGACTTCTGTTATATCAAGTTATAATAGTTTTAGAAAATCCAACAAAGTTAAAAATTAAGTCTATGTCAGAAACTGTATAATACCATCTGTGATCCAAGTGACTAATATAGATTTTATATTTCGTATTTATGACAATAGATTTTGTTTGAAGTTAAGCACAAAGCTGCACAATAGGTTATCTGTGTTCTGCCCACCACGAGTATCGAAACCCGGTTTCTAGCGTTGTAAGTCCGAAGGCATACCACTATGCTACTGGGGGGCTATTCTTGTATTCTTAAACAACTTGTGTTGAATATATTATATTACAATATAATAAGTATTTTATTAAGTATTGATTACATTTACGATTTTAACTTTACCGTTGCCTACAACTTATATAATCAATAAAAGCAGCAGTAAAACTTTAAATTATAAATTGCAAAAATTCTACTGAATCTTAGATAGTAACAAAATAGAGATCCCAAGGCGTAACATTGTTATAATTCAAGTAATAATAATAATATATAAATGGAAATTTTGCGTAACAAACATAATGGTACCAGAAGTGGCCTAGCGGTTAAAAGTGACTGTGAACGTGAGGATTCCTTGATTGTGTCATGTTGCCACTAAAACACGCTCACCTATTAGGCTTCGAATCCCAGTTCCACCAAACATGTTCGCCCTTTCAGCCGTGAGGCGTTATAATGTGATAGTCAATGCTATTATTCGTTGATAAACGAGTAACCCAAGAGCTGGCGGTGGGTGGTAATGACTAGCTGCCTTCCCTCTAGTCTTTCACTGCTAACTTTGGGACGTGTAGCGCAGATAGCCTTCGTGTAGCTTTACACGAAATTCAAACCAAGCAAATAAACACCTATTAGGCTGTGAGCGATCTACCAAAGTGAGGGTCAATCCCATTATCTCATCACACAGGAGTAGCTAAAGAATTGGGGTGGGTGCCTTCCATCTAATACACCAGTTCGAAATTATGGACAGATAACCATTGCGCAGATAACCCTTATGTTGTATCTTTGTATGAAATTCTAAAATAAAAAAAATCATTTTAAGAAGGAAAAGGTTAAGAGTGTCATAATGTAGTTTAAAAACAAATCAAAGCAATACGTGAAAATTTAATAATTATACCAAAAATGTAGTAATAAGTGCAAATTGGAATCACCTGATGACTGAAAAAACAAAGTTCAACTTTCTCATAGTCCAGTAGACAGACTGGCATAGTGGCATAGCGGTAAGTCTGAAAGCTTATAATGCTAAAATCTTGGTTTAGATACCCCTGGTGGGCACAGCACAAATAGCTTTGGGCTTTGTTATAAACAAGCAAATGACGGGCCTTGAAAACGAGAGTAAACGTGAAAGTGCTTACTCAAAACTATTTGTTTTTCTTACCGAAATAAATATTTCTAAATGCCCTATTTAATTTTTTCACTTGCTGATGCAAGCACGATTCTGCATGTTGAAAAGTACTTGCTAAACAATCATAATTATAATAACAAATCATGTCTCTTTGTAGCTTCCTAGCATATTTTCAGCTTCCAAGTCATTCAGTTTATTGTATTATATTATTTTTCAAGTAAAGGTGCGTTACATTAAAAGCTTGAAAATATGTTTTAATTGCTTATTAGGAAAGTTACTAGCATTGGGTGTCTCCTCCTTTCAGGTCTAGATCCAGTTCAAGCTTTAGCAATACAGAAAAAACAAACAGAGGTGTGTTTCTTCAATTGTAAAAATACAGATTCACTCATTAGTGGTGGAGATGCAAGGATACAAAAATTTATTGTATCCAGCATTGAGTGGAAGGATTTTCTTCACAGAGACTTGCTGAGTAAAAAAATCCAAAATACACCCTAACATTCCATAATACATGTGTTTCAATTTATGAATCCAAGTCTCACATTCAACGAGAATTGAAACACACTTGATGTCAGAAGTCTCAAAGCTGTGAACTACCCCCAAAAGACACTCACTAGCCACGCTCCAATGCTTACCAGAGGAGTCATCTAACTTATCAAGACAACTCAAAAACCATGAATACATTTCACCTCATAGGCGATGAGCAGTGCATTTTGGCCATCAGGAAATCTATCATGAGTTGTCTATTCATGCTCCATAAACAGAAAAAAAAAACATGCAGGTAGATACTGATGACATAGATATATTTGTGCTTTTAGAGTTCTTCGTTTGGAAGCATATAATTTCAGTACAAATTTGCATTAAAATATCTGTTTATTGTAACGGTTTTAGAAAGTTTATTGAAATATTTCATAATAATATGGTTTTAGGATTTTAGCAACATTTTATGATATTTCTTATTAAATAAGCACGAGCTGAAGATTTCATTTTTTCTTACAACAAAAATTAATTTGAAAAATATTAAGATTCACTTTGTAAACAATAATTTTGCAAATTTACGGTTGCTCCTCAGTCTTTCAAAATATCAGATCTTATGATCCTTGGCTTAATAACATGCTCTATAAGACTTTTATTCTATTGTATGGCATAACAATCTGCTTGTGTGTGGGTGTTGTTGTTTTTTCTTTATATACGTTGCTCAAGAGTTAAATGATCATTACAAATTATAGCTATTATAAGGAAAAATCACTCTTAAAAGTAATGGCAATCATCACGCTACCATTTAATTGTTTATGCAAATCAGACGTCTCAATATCAGTTATGTGACCTGAAAAGCAAATGATTAGTTATTCAGTCTACGTTCGTAAATTAACATTTATTAGATGTGACAAAATGTTTTTATAGTTCATGACCTTCTTTCAATCTAGAGTACGATCACCATAAACAAGTTTAATCTTGTGTTAATACTGCATGATTAAAATAAGAATGTTAATATGTTCTCAACCAATCTTCAAAGAGTTGTTGACAGAGTGTTTACAGTTATTTGATGAATTTGGCGAGCCTCCAAAAGTATCTAATACATGTTCAACAGGATTGAGATAGATCTGACTGCAGGATGACTATAAGTCTACTTTCTGAAACACGCAACTCATCTGTAAAAATAATATTACTCCGTGTGACGTGTTCTTGGCGCCATTACAATAAAGCTGTTTTGCGCCTTGTTATCCAGGCCATACCAACATATACATTACTGGCAATAAACTACTGCTTAAAGTATTCGTTATAAGAGGGATACCCTAGAGAATTGACACAGAAGAGGTTAAGAGTGCCTTGACTGACATACATATACCACACATAAAAGTGGAACGCAAAATTTCAAACATAACACAGAAACCCACAAACCTCTTTCGCGTTCATATAGATAATACACAAAAACATTAAACACCTTATTTCCAATGAAATGACACTATGATAACAGCGTTGTCGAGTAGAGGAAACAAAAACATCAGCAATCGTGGTTACTCAATGTTTCCAATGCCAACGTTTCGGCCACATTGTTTTTTAATGTAATGTTGCCCCGAGGTGGGATGTGGTAGAGATCACCATGCCTCAAAATGTGCAAAAGAACAAACAAACGTGAAATGTTGCAATTGTGAGGAACAACACAGTAAATAATAAAGGAAGAAAAAATAAGACTATTAAAACACATTTGTATAACATTAGAAACAAATACAACCACAAGTGTACCACATCAATGTATCAATGTACAACAAGTAGCAACACGTAAAAAACACCCCTTCTCCCACCACCAGTCACACAGCAACAGACCACATTGACTTATGCTTCAGTAGTCACCAAATCCTCCAAACCACTAGTTTCAAATGTCAACAATACACTAAATATTACCCAGCAAACACAGGAAACACTTACACTAAAAGACAGCAACGTTTATCCGGTACATATGAAAACTCCAAATGACACAGACAATGTGATGCAAAAGGTCACAACATCCGTACCAATGGTAACAAACAAGAACATTAAACATAATCCGTTCATTAAAGCAGTCAAAAACATATTCACGGGTTTCGGTTGTTTGTTTGTTTGAATTTACGCACAAAGCTACACAATGGATTATCTGTGCTCTGCCCACCACGGGTATCGAAACCCGGTTTCTAGCGTTGTAAGTCCGCAGACATACCGCTGTGCCACTAGGGGCTCACAGATTTCATCATAGAATTTACAAATCCAACACAAAACCACTTTCACTTACTATTAGTATTAATAAACGTAAAATAACATCTTATTGTATACCTTCAGTACCTCATGTCATCGATCATTGGTTATGTTTTCACTATCTTGTAAATCAATATCCAAGGTGTGCTTGCTTCTAAGAGGCATGAGATCGAGGACATCATCAAACACACAAAACCTGATATATTTGATATAAATGAAACAATGAAATACAAAAATAGAAAATTACGTTTTATAGAATGTTCATAGATAAGAACGAACTGGTTAACGTAGGTGCTCCGAATCGAGAAATAACTCTCTTCTACAACTCGGCACTGTCAGTGACTGAGTTAAATGTGACTGTATCAATGTATAACTAGTATAACTAGTGGTGTTCATCTAACAAATAGTGCACGTATCACAGATACATAAGAAGTAAATTAGAAAGTTATAGAATTTACTCTTCACAGCAGCTTTCAGATTACTCAAATCAACATTGTCAGCATGTTTACATAAATATGCAAACTTTTAGCCTCTACCTGACAGACTCCTACATAGCTTGCTAAATACTCCAGAAAAATGAGGATTACGTCGAGCTATTACGTGAATTATGCCGCTACCGTATACATGATGAAAGTAGTCCTAAGTTCCTCCTTATTTAGACTGCTACCGTATACTTGATGAAGATAGTCCTAAATTCCTCCTCATTTAGACCACTACTGTATAAATGATAGAAGTAGTCCTAAGTTCCTCTTTATTCAAACCATTACCACATACATGATGAAAATAGCCCTAAGTTCCTCTTTTCAATTAACAGCCATTATAAGTATAACAACACGCCACCTACTGCAAGCATAAAACTATGTCATTAGATTACGAATGTATTGAAAAAGATATTTATGTACAATACACTCCAAGTGAAAAGTATTAGCTTATCATTGGAACTGTTAGTGATGAGCAGGACTTTCGCACACCCGAATGAAGCGATGTTGAATACTTCTAGAATTACATATACATGGACATGGCCTTGGAAGGGGTCAGAATATTTACTCGTGCTATTAGGTATAAATCATGATCCTCGTGTTGTGATAATACAAGTATTTTCCCGATTTAATTTAAATAAAAGTACACGCAAATAAACCAAATGCCAAGGGGAGGAAGAGGTCATCATTGCAACCAATCCTCCCAGGCCACAAACAGACCTAAAAGCAACTAAAAAGAAGAGGATTAATGGAACACATTTCACTGAGTGTCTGGCAATAAGGTCGGCCTTGTAAAGCATGTTTCTATCAATATACAGTTGCAAACATCTGTATCAATCTCAGATATTCTACCCTACAAGTTTGGCGAGCCAGAACTGACAGATAACATTCGTCTGCTTGTGTCGTAGACGAAGGCATGTCTTGTCCAGCCGTGAGAACAACGCCAAATATTGGTTTGGGAGAGTTTCATATTTAGCTAGACACACAGAACCAGATCACAACAGCCTGCTGTTATTGGCTGGTTTATATTTGTCCAATAGCTCTCCATGTGAGTAATTTATTTCCTCTTTTTCTGTTATAGTGATTATCAGATGCCTGATTTTCATATAAATGAACCGTGTCGAGTGTGTAATTGACATTATTTTATAATAATGGTTTTGCCTTGTCATAGCTGTAGTATTACAAACTCGTATGATACTTTAATTGGTTTGAGCAGTATATATATATATATATGTGTGTGTTTGTGTGTATTTATTTATTTACAAACAAGTGTACGGACAGAATATTCCTTTTCTAATAGAACAATAACACTTTTTTTACAACAAACACACAAAAAAAAATCATGAATAATCAGCATTTATTGAATGTACACACAATACATGATTTAAAGTTGCACATCATCTGATTGCATGACACTTTACTGGTAATATTTGTACTGAAAATACAAGTTTTGAATGTTTTGAGCTGCTACCCGTAATCCTGTCAAGACCAGCTACTGAAATATACTTTATTTGCTCGTTAAATTTTTTAATAATGTAAATAACTTCAAACTACAATTCATCATGTCAGTCACATGCTGTGTTATCTGTGTTTATCATACATTATGAATTTAGTAAAAAGCCTTGTTTTAAGTATGATTTGACAAAATCGATGACATTCATGGTCCGACACCAACCTTTTCCAGGTTGGGGGAGGGGGGGCATTGGAAAAACATTGGGGGGAGCTTTGCCGTCAATATGTGTATATCACTAGCGTGTTGGATACCTAGGGGGGTGGGTAAGACAATTTTCGGGATGGCTACAGCCTCCCTTTAGCGCCGGCCCTGATGACACTGTGTAAAGTAAAACCAGTGTCAGGAGATATGAACATATATTATTTATCATTACACACATTAAAATAGAATAACCGATACCCAAATTTCTAACTGTTATAACTTTTACTATAACAGCTATCGTAAAAACGTGATTGGATACATAAAATCATAATGATTGACGTAAAACATTATTCTCCGATTTTTAAATATACCTTGTTGTTTTTATGATGTTAGAAAACACAATTAAACACAGCAATACGATACTGTATAACCCAAGCTCTTTCACAGTTTGTAGTGCCTCGTGCCAGCACGAGATTAGGTGGTTATGAACATTCGTATTGAAATTTAACAATTGTGTTCTAAGGGGTGGAAACGTCTAAACTGCCTGCTAACATAAAACATGAGTTAGAAAAATTTGAAACGTGTTATAGATGAATGAGAAAATCAACTACATGAAAATTAACAAGGAGGTACTAGAACTTGCAAGGATAAAAAGACAACTGTTAGACATACGTAAGAAACGGAAGATGTAGTAATTTGGCCATATAATTACATTAGAGGGGAGGTTGACAGATATTGTGATGGGTAAAATCGAAGAAAGTAGAACAAGAAACAGGCAGAGACTCACTTGGCTCGATAACATTATAAAATTGATTGTAGATGAGAAGCTTGAATTAGAAAGCTGATGCATGCAGTGTGGAATAGAGAACAAAAGAGAATCATAGTCTTCAACCCCCAGAATTGAGGGTGGTAGTGGTACCATAATAAAACTGATCATCTGCTTTTCCATACCTACCATTATATGCTTATACTTCACATGCTTTGACATATTGTTACGATAGCGGAAGTCACGTGACTCTGGTAACACGTCATGAGTTCTAGAAAGATCGGGGAACATCACGAATAATCCAGTATTTGCTAGGCGCCCTCTAATCTTGTATATAAGTGCGACAGGCAATTAATCGGAATTGAATTGCAAACAGGCAGAAATAGAGACGGACAATTGAGTCAAGCGCGGTAAAGTGCGTGAATCGTTCGTTGTGAATTATAGCGTGTGTTTAAGTTAATATGACTGTGGAAATTAAGTGTATTGCTAAGTTGAATTGAAAAAGAATAAACTAGTTTTATTTAAGAAAAGACTTGTATCGTTGAAGTTCTTCGGAAAGAATTTCTACGGGAAATTAACAAACGAACAGAGACGTAACAATATATTTAGATTCTAACAAAGACGACATATATTATTTACAGCTCCATTTAGATCATAGAATAAGAATAAAGGTACTGTAAGACCTGGAATCGATATTTAATCAGATGTGTAAAGTGTGATAAAATGTTAGGTACTTATTTCTACTTAAATTATTATTTATTTAAACTTCTTATAAGTCTTTTGGTTGACGATGTTGTTTTTAAACACGAAGTTATGAAGTGTAAGCAGTATGTGATCGATTAATCAATAGAGAACTTTACGTGGATTTGAAACTCGGTTGACAAGACTCCAAATGATAATTTAAGGAAAACATTAAACGCTAATTAAAATATCTGTTATAATTTTAAACAGTCAGGCGACCATGAACGTATTTATACATTTCGTAATTTGAACAGCATAACCTTCAAGCAATACATTTCTGTTTTTGTCAAGCACTACTTATTAACTATTACAATGTCTCGGGTTCTAATATACATACTTGTTTTATTAGTTTATATTTTTAAGTGGAAGAAAGGTCCGAGACCTCGTCAAGGATATGTTTTTTAATCTGCATAGTTTTTGTTTAGATCTAGAGACGTGAAGTTTATAATTTATGATTTTTTTTAATGGAAAATCGCCAGTCAATAAGATGTCATGGCGGAGTAGCCTTTGAATTTCCAAAACAAATTTACAATATCATGCAATACAATATTCACATGTTATAGAGGAAAGTTAAATTTAGACCTACAATCTAGTATTTACTGTAAGACTAGTGTATCCATGTCTACATTTGTTAAAATATCAGTCTTTCACATGTTTTTGTATACACTTAATGCAAGAACGAATTATCTGTTGATTTTCGGTAAGCTTCCATTATAAAAAAGTATATTTTCCCTCTCGTTCACATAATTATTTATAATTCTGAATATCAAATCACAAAAGCAGACAACATCATTATTGAAAGTACTGACAAAGGAATATCTATGACTATTTAAATGATATTTGCTTACTTGAGGACTATATATTTATGCCAGATTTACAAAACGTAAAGTTCTTCACAATGCACTTGTATTCATATTTTGGGTTTGCACACATTATAATCTGTCGAGTAGCTAAGATATTTACAAGGTGCTTTGAAATTCTTCAGATTTAAGAAGAGTGCTTGTGGTGGTACATTACGTAATTAATTAGTTTCGAATGTAATAAGAGTGCTTGTAGTGATACCTTAGAAAAGGAATTTCTTAGCTACAGATTTAAGAAACGGTCCTGTAGTGTTACATTGCTATTTTCTTGACTTCAGATATAAAAAAAGAGGTCCTATAGTGGGGCATTGTATATTTCCTTGTTTTCAGATTTAAGAACGGTGCTTCTAGTGGTACATTACGTAAGTATTTCCTTGACTTCGGATGTAAGAAAAAGTCTTGTAGTGGTATATTACGTGAGTAATTCCTTAGCTTCACATTTATGAAGAGTGCTTGTAGTGGTACATTAGAAAAAGGAATTCCTTATCTTCAGATTTAAGAAAACGTCCTGTAGTGGTACATTATGTAAGTATTTCCTTAGCTTCAGATTTAAGAAGAGTGCTTGTAGTGATACATCACCCAAGCATGTTCACCAAACGCGACAGGTAATTCCCTTTTGAGTTTCCTTGCTGCCATCAAAGCAGCACCAAGAGCGGAAGAAGTCTTTGGTCGTAACAAAGTGAATTCTCGAAGTCGACCATTGCCAAGAGTAGCGAGAAATCCTATATTACACACAAACGAAAAAAAAAAAGATAAGCTATTCGATAAAAAAAAATAATTTGAAAGAAAATTTTAAGAAGCTAGTCATAAATAAATAAGTTTAAAAATTGGAAATGAAAAAGTAATTAAATATTTATTCCAAAATTACAAACATTAAATTTGGGAGTCTAATGTTCATAAAGGCGCTAAAACATATCCCATATCTAATAATTTTCTTTTAGTCTATCATCATTTTAATGATCATGTGTACGTACCTTTTTAATCAGCTATAACATATAAAACTGTATAATAAAAAATACATATACTGTTTAGGGTTGTTTTTTTGTTGTTGTTGTTAAATATCAAGTTTTATGGCCAAAACACTCAAATAGTATAGGAGACTCATTAAGGACTCGTGAGTGCCACTTCCGGCAAATAGTTTACATCGATTGGATGTAAAGTAATGTGTCAAACAGCACTCGAGTAGTACAGCTTTGTGCTAAAACAACTAGTTCATCATTTTATATGTAACTATATATATAAGTGTCATGTTTGTATGTATTTGAACCAAAATGTTCTATTTACATGCATAATTATTATTTACTTTTGGAAACACCTTGCAAGCTCCTTCGAGATAGGTATATATTTACATTTTGTAACACTGCTTAACTTTCAGAACCGTTATTTTTATGCTACTTTTTTGTTAAAATACTGAATAGCTGAATCACTTATAAGAGGTGATGCTAACTTTTCAATGCAATCAACAACTTTAATAGAGGATACAAGTAGTCTAGTCGATGCTGGAGTACATGTAAAATAAAATTATAACTGTATACAGTACAATACTCAAATAATTCTAAAAGGGGGATGGCAACTATTTAATTCAGTCCTAAAGCAACTCTAAAAGGGGATGGCAGCTGTTTAATTCAGTCCTAAAGCAACTCTAAAAGGGGGATGGCAGCTATTTAATTCAGTCCTAAATCAACTCAAAAAGGGGATGGCAGCTGATTAATTTAGTCCTAAAGCAACTCAAAAGGGGATGGCAGCTGTTTAATTCAGTCCTAAAGCAACTCTAAAAGGGGATGGCAGCGGAGTAATTCAGCCCTAACGCAACTAAAAAGGGGATAGCAGCTATTTAATTCAGTCCTAAAGCAACTCTAAAAATGGGATGACATATTTGTAATGCAATATTGGAGCACTTCTGAGAGGTGAAAATAGCCGTGTAGCGCTTAATGGTTCCAGGAATTTTGATACTTAACAGGTAGTATTTATATTAGCTTCATTAACTACCTGATTTCAGCAGCTCCCAACTCTTGAACACAGAACCAACGCAAACAATTGGCAAACCTCCTTCATCTTCCATTAGACTCTAACGATAAAATAGAAGGAAAAAATGGTTATGTGGAATTATTTACAAAAATCATGTTTTCTTTTGCACATATATTGTTCAAAATGACACACAAATTAATACCAAGGAAAATATTCCACAAAACACCCACTTCCTAAACTCCCACGTTTGGTATTAAATGGAAATGCTTAGAGAACTGGAAGAAGTATCAATGGAATTATATTTGAATATTAATACTTATATCGGTTATAAATATATTTTGCAAAATTATTTGATATTACAGTGATTTGCCCCTTTCCTGATGGCTCAGCGGTAAATCTGAGGGTTTATAGCGCTAAAAATTGGTTTTTCGTACCCGTTGTGTAGCTTTGTGCTTAACAGCAGACAAACAAATCGTGTTAGAAACTTAAATCGCTGGAGGTTCTTTCTCTGTTTTTAGCGTTATAAGCCCTCGGACTTACCCCTGAGCTATCAGGGAGACTTGTATCACGAGAACTAAGCCATTCGTTACATTAAACTTAGAACGTATTTGAATATGAAACGAAATAACTTATAAGTAACGCGACACAATACTATTTGTGTAGAAAAGTTTAAGTCTGGAATAGAATTTATTCTCTTTCAGAAATAGTTAAATGAGTCTATATCAAGACTTCGGGCAATGTGGGCTAGTCGGTGTGTTGAGTATGGTATTGAGTGAAAAGTATAATAATAGATTCATCTTACTGTTTGAATTTAAGCACAAAGCTACATGATGGGCTATCTGTGCTCTGCCTACCACGGGTATCGAAACCCGGTTTCTAGCATTGTAAGTCCGCAGACATATTGCTGTGCCACTGGGGGCTCATCTTACTGAAAGTCTATTTTAGGCTAATTAAAAATGAACTGTTAAGAATTATAATAGTGTTGTTTCGCAGTTTCTGATCATCGTATCTTAGCAAAAAAAAAAATTAAAGAAAACCTTTCTTTTTAGTTATAAACATTATAGTGTAAATAAATGCGACCATAACTACATGTAAATGTAACCTATCAACCAGCATAACTTTATATTGTAATCTGTTATTCTGAGACTAACTTGGCGATGGAAAAAAAAACAATAAAGGAAAAGAAAACATCTCATAATACATTATTCAGCAAAATAAACACATAGTGACAAAGTTCATATTTGTGGAAAAATGTTTAGAATGTTAGAATTTCCGTGTTCTTTCTTTTTTTTTAATACTGAAAGTATTATGAAATTATTCACAATTGTATATTGTATTTTTCCAAGTTTTAGCAAAATCCTATACTGACCTTGTGTACTTTAGGAAGCAGCGCCATCACGTGGTCGGCAAGAGCTCTACCTGCTTCAAAAAACAACTCTCGACACAATGGGTCACCCTCCTGGGCAGCTGGTAGACAGAAAATCATTTCACTAACAATTTTCGAGGCTAATCATAATTAACTATAGTATAGAAGGCAAAGAAAATAACCAGTATAGCAAAACAGAAACAGTATAATGCCCTAACCAAAATTTTTAATAATAAAAGAGTATTCAACGTCTTTCGAAATTAAAAACATCAGTAAATCCACCGAAACAAAATGACGCATATTTGATGACGGAAAAAGAGAAATTTTCAGCTTGTAAAAGTCTATGCACAGAGTAAGGATAATTCAAATACTTTAACATATAAGCATCAAAACCTTTTTTTTTACGAACTTAACATAAAACCTTTCACTTTGGAAGTCAGTGTATTTACCAAAACTGAAAAGAACGAAACTCAAAAGAAAATTGTTTTTAAAGACATATTAAAATATCATATTATAAAAACAGCCAGAATGAACTTTGTCAATTTAAGATAACATATACTATTTAAATGTCAAAAAATATCACAGCTTATTTTGAATTAATTTTGAGAGTTTTCCTTAGTTCAGATTAATTATTCGGATCCCATCAAAGTCCGGACCCATGTTCTGGAGCATTCAGTCATGTTTGTAGAAATTATCAGCAACATAACACATTTCTTTTGTATTTATTTATGTTTATAATATGTAAATTAGCCATGGTGGTTATGTTCATGTGCCAGAATATATCTTTGTACCTATTTTAATATATTTTCATACAAATAGCATAGTATGAAGATGTTTTTTCTTATAAAAAAACCAAAACCAACATAACACTATGTGAAGGGTATATGCTACCTTAAATATGTTAAAATGTTGAACTACATCTACACTAAGTGTAAAAATAGAATATACTCAAGACGCAGAAAAGTATAATGTTCATCACTATTCCGTTTTCTTCTTCTCACGATGACTGTAAACCAATTTATCTCACATCTTTTTAAAGTTTTTGTTTAGCTATCAATCCAATAGAGAACGTCCATTTGTTTCTTCTTCTCATTTTCAAGTGTCAATTTAATTTATTTTATTGAAACTCCAGGAAATGTATAAGGGTTATACAAAATACATATAAACCTTTCTTTTCTACGTTTATTAAAGTGGGGGATGTTTTGGTGTTTTGAGTACTTATTTTTTTCAAAATTAAAAAAGGATTCGGTATGGAGTCTGAAACGTCGTGTGATATAAAAGTCAACGGTACATAGGATTCGGTACAGAGTTCTACATGTTGTGTGATATAAACCAACAACAGCATATAGCCCTAATATACAAAATTAATAGTTCTTATATAGCGTATAGCCCTAATATACAACATTAATAGCTCTTATATAGCTTAAACCCCTAAAATACAACATTAATAGCTCTTATATAGCGTATACCCCTAAAATACAACATTAATAGCTCTTATACAGTATGTGCCCTTAAAAAACACAATAAATGAGCATTTAAACCTACTTTTAGGATAACAATTTTCAATTTCCTTTCAACCTTATTAGAGTATCTGTTCTTTTCTAGCCGCAGCATACCAGCTAAAAGCACGGTTCTAAGTTTTTCAGCTACAAACTCATAGCTCATAGCTCCGTCATCTCTTGACCGATTTGAGATCTAATTGCAGTTTTGGACTCTGGAGGTCAAACCCTTTCGATTGATATATTTGACCACGTCCAAGGTCTCATAGATTAATTTACTCTAATCCTGCCTAAAGGAATTTAAATTTGAGGGTAGGCTGGTAGATATCCTGATGAGTAATAAAATCGAATCGGAGCCCCACGCGAGTATACGCGAGCCCCACGCTTGGTATTGCTGGCGCACAAAAATATGGCTAATAAAAAGGGGGGGGGTAAGGTCTCATAGATCAAATTACTCTAATCCTGCCTAAAATAATTTCAAGTGCCTCTGCTACTGAGGATTCCCTACTGTTTTAATATATATATATTTACCTGAGTTCAACACGGGTGATACTTGCGCTAGCTGTTCGTAACTTAGAAATGATAGACTAGTAAAGGAAAGGCAGCAGCGGATAATCAACACCGCCAAATCTTGGTCTACTTTTGTGTTGCGTATCTGGTCGTTCGTTAATTTCACGTAGAAATTCTTTCCGAGAAACTTC